AAAAATGAGCAAAACCCATACTATGAAATCAGCTTTAATAGGCCCAATCATGATTGTGTCACCAAAATGTTAAACAAATCAAAAGAGAGAACCAACAGCCTAATTAGTGACAAAACCATCAATGAAAAACAAATATTATATACAGTAACTAACAACAACCACTGAATTATAGGCTCCTGACATAAAGAATGTGGCAGGGTTAATATGTTTATGAGCACCCAACCCTCCCCTAACTTGGGACACAACATATGAACAAACTAAAAAAAACAGTTGGAAATAAAAGAAGACAAAAAAATATAGAAATAAGTAATAATTTATAGAAATTTATGCTATGGATATATAATTACATTACATGTATTTTTCATTATAATGCGTTATTTTGATTGGCTAACAGCAATCTCGCGTCATTCTGAAATTAACCTTCATTTCAAAATGAAATGCATTCATGATGACACAAACTTCCACAATAAAGTGCACACTGGTAAATAAAAGAAAAACTTGATAGAAATCTTGTTTTCATTATCCTTGCAAAAAAATGTAATTATAATTATTGAATGCTTCTTTTAGTAATTTTATAGGGTTGACAGTGCGCACATTTTTAGAATGAAGCACGAAAATGTACTTTGGTCAACGCTTTTACACCCCAATAAATTTACAAAAAGAAGCATTCAATTCTTAAGTAAAGAATATTGTTGGAATACTCCTATGAAAAGGAGAATTTTAGTATTTGAACCAGAATTATCTCCCTTTGTACCTTGAACTCATAATGTGATGATCGATTGATATTTGTTGTATGCTACATCAGCCCAAAATGCTATACATTGTTGCAATTGAAATTTGACCCTGTCCAGATTGCATCACTGTTTAATATACAATCCATGACTTGTCCAGGAAATGTGACATTTTCTTAGCTAACTTAGCTAGCTTCCTATAGCAGCAATGCACATATTGACCCTGCATTCAAAATCACATGATGTTTTTTACCTCCTTGTTCAACCTTGTGGTCATCATCTTCATAGCTGGACTGTGCAGGTTTTTGTCTCACCTCAACAAGTCAAAACAGTGAGACTTAGGTGTGCTCTTTCTGATGGTGGTTGCGGCTTTAACAATGTTTAAGTTTGTGATTAGGTCAGTTTAAAGGGAACCACTAGTGGTAGGTCTATGATATTAGGTATGCAGTTGTATAAGCATTGGCACATCTCCTTTCCATGGATTTTATTTGGCCCTGCCCTCTCAGTCATGGTCTATTGTCTTTAAAACTTTTGCATAGTTTACATGTTAGTAATTACGTTAGTTTGAGATGAACCACTAAAGGTAAGTCAATGATATTTGGTTAAAGTCGAACATTTTAATCCCACCTTATTTTAGGCCTGTACCCAGTCAAGCTATATGGACCGTATGTTGTCAGTTGTTCTTTGTCTTTGTTTTCATTTATGTTTTTCGGGAGAAATCAGGTTCTGGTGGTTGATGTGATCTGTTGTAATTAATGAGCTGAGGGTTTTTTTGGCAGTCACTCTTATCCCCTTTCATGAACTATACTTAAATTCTTATTTTAAGATATGTGTAGGTGTAGCAAGTACCAAATCTCTTGATTTGTTTACTATATATACATGAAACAGAGGATTTTGTTGAATCCTTATGTATAGATGTACAATTTGGTATCATATTCTGGTTATTAGAGATATTTTGAAGTGCCTGGCAGTCACTTTTTAGGATGCTAGTTCTGCTTCGTAGTCAGTTCCAGTTGTATTTGTTTAATCTATTTTGAAATGGTGTTTTCAAATATATTTTTTTTTAGATAAAACAATAAGAAACAGAAGGTAAATGATCCTGATGATTAACTTCCTTGTCTGACCTACTAGGCAGAATTCTCTTTTGTTATGTAAAGTGAAATAAATGTTTGTAACTTTTGGACATAAATATATCATTGATTTTTTATTGCCGAGCAGTTACATGAGTGTGATTTCATAGTCAACACTGGCTCTGCTTCTTGAAAATTATTTCAGTTCACAAGCTTCCACCATTTGTCACAAATAAAAAAAGTTTTTTTTCTATATATTTTTTTTATTTACTTATAAATCAATAACTTAAACATAGCACTAATGGTAATAACAAATTAAGCACTGAACAGTTTTTTACAATTCAACACTTTGCTGTGTTTGACTAAATATCTTCTCCATAAGTAACTGTCCAGTTTTATAATGGCTGTATCTCTTGGCAGCTTGTATGATCTTTGAGACGGTCCCTGATTTAACTGAACGGTTGACAAAGTCCCAGCATGCTCTTTCAAGGTCATCCAGACCAAACTGTGATGCCCCACATAAAAGTCCAGCTACACATGAACTGTTGATGTCCACAGAACCACTGTGTATGAACTGTATGATCTTTCTGAAGTCCTCTGGTTCATACTTCTTCACAACAATGGCAACTTTGTCTGATTTCACTGTGGTTTTCTTTTTCTTGTCTTTTTTGTCAGCTTTTCTCTGAAATTCAGCTTCCTTCTGTTTCTTTAAGATTAGATTGTACAGCACTCTGCTTCTTGTTCCCAAGATGGCCTTGACACCATGAACTTTGACCTTTTCTGAACCAACTTCAAATGTGACATCACAAAGTTCTGGTATGGATGAGATGACTTTCAATTGTTCTGTCAGAGCTTGAGTATTTCTGTAGCTCATCTTTTGTTTGATCTTGACCGGGTCCCTGTTGTAGCTGATAGGTATCAGTCTGTTATTCTGTGGGTTATGAGTTGATGTGGATGACTCTGAGTCTGAAGGTGTGGATTCATATCCAGAGGAATAGTCATCCTGTTCTACTTGTTCAAAGTCCACTAAAGCCAGAGTGGATTCACATCTATTCATTTTGTAGTTGTTTATGTGTATAAAGACAAAGATATCTGAAATGATTTGAACTTTCCCATTACTGTATTTATATTTATATATATGACATTTTATGAAATGAAATGCTCCTTTTTGACAAGTAGCATAAAATGGTATAAAAATTGAGACATGGAGACATTTCTGTCAATTTCAGTTCCATAGAGTTGTTGGCTTGTCTACAGCTTGGGGTCATCAATGTATTCTATTTATCCAATTAACAAATTGATTAGTTAGTAAAACTAATTGTGGAAAACAATCACAAGTCAATAATCAGAGTCATAATTAATATCACTGATTTATTTCTCATAGCATAGGGTATAAAAAGAATTTTGTTTTTAAATCTAAAATTACTGGTTCATTTAAATTGAATCATTATGATTTTTTGGGGTTTTTTTTATACAATGTTTTTAATAATCGAAACCAATGAGCATAATGAAATTATCAAGATAAGTAAGTATGAAATAGTCTATAATAGAGGGTAAAATATATTGTTGGAATTCAATTTCTTATAAAAACCTTAAATGTTTAGTAAAAATATTTTTTTTATTTCATAGGTGTCAGCATTTTCTCTTCTTATGTAATAATCTTTTAAATGTATAAAAATAAGAAAATGATATAAATATTAATGAGACACCTATCCACTAGAGAACAAGGGATGGAAAGCACTTAGTCTATTATTTTTTTTTCTCACAAAGACAAAAAATGTTGAGTTTACAATTGGAAAACACATCTTTGTTAACAAAATAATCCAAACTAGACAAAGTGATGCCCCCGCCTCCACTCTGAAGTAACTGTATTATAACAATGTCAATGTAGGACTTTCTTTGAGATATTATTGTGTCTGGGAGACACAAATGATGCCCCTGCAGATGCAAAGCGTTATTTTAAAATATACAAAGTTGAGCATGGGAGCACATAGGTCTATGGTTCACTGTAGGAGTTATCCGGAAACGCTATGCACCTCTTATACAAGTAAATACTCCAAAAAAGTTCAACTATCTCCCAAAAGAGCAAATATTAATAAAAATCAAAACCCTGACCACATGCACACCTTCAATATATGTACAAACAGCCAGCAAAGTGAAAACTTCCTAGCATTCAAACTGTAGGAGGAGTTATCTGGAATAACTATATACCGATAATGGGACGCACAGACAGAAGGACAAACAGACAGACAGGAGTAAAACAATATGCCCCCCAACTTTTAGTTGCGGGGGCATAAAAATAATTAACCCTTTGTTAAATGAATTCACCAGTCCATTAATTACCTTCCAAATCAAACCAATTTCATCTCTTACAAATTCCAACATCTTATGAAAATGCAACCTCGGTCATAATTTAAAGATTCATTGTTTAAATTTCAACCATTTCCTGTCTGTCAATTTGTTGACAGGAGGAAAGGTTAGCAAAGCTAATCTTAATCATTGGAAATAAAAACTTTTGATTATATATCAAGTGACAAAAATGCAATGCTCCTATTGAAATTATAAAAGTTTGTAAAATTTAAAAGAAGAGCAAAATATTATCAGAATTAAAAGCTGTTAGCTTTCTTCTGTCAATCCTAAAGTTGTGTTAAAATTACATAAGAATTGGCAAATTTGAATGTATTGACCAACAGATGGACAGATGCACCAAAGAACGGATGGACAGACAAACATTGGTATACCATTATACACAAGACCAATCATCAGTATATGTAACCACAAACAAATTGTTTTCAAAGGTTTAATCCTTGACTTGTTGTATTACAACATTTGTAGTTTCTTTTCAATTATGCATGTATTTGACAAGATGTGTAAATCATTCTTTTAAATCTAGAAGGCATGGAAAAGGGAATTGTTCATACTAACTTTCAGGGTTGACAAAAAAAAGCCATGGCAGAAACAGGAGGTTTGTAAGGTTTATAAGAAATATTTTTGAAATCAAATATGTACCATCAATAAAAACTTACTTTGAAAATGAAACCTGCAATTTCATAAATGTTCAAATAGAATGAAACATGCAATTCAATTTGTGTTTTTTTTTAGTGAACATTAATTTTTTTATAATGAGCATAAAATATTTGCTGTTCTTATCCTCATCACAACCAACAAGTGAGACTCAACAGTATCTAAAAAGTCCTACCTTTCCTGGATGGGTCCATGGATTGGCATAATCAGATAAGGTCCATCTAGTACATGGAGTACCATCTTTGGTGACTGCAGTAGTACCTCTATAGGACTCACCATTATCTGTGTAACATTCTAAAAAACAAATTAAACATATATATCTTTTAACAGTTTTTTATTTATTACTTTTGGCATTTTTGTGTCTATCAGATGTCTATACAACTAGATACAAGTATAAAAGGTACATGTATTATAAAACATAGGAGTAAAAATAAACAAAATTCTGAAGCTCACAGCATGATTTTCAAGACACACAATTGCAAAAGTTCACTTATACTCCATCTCCTATTGAACTGGATGTATTTTGGTTGCTATGGTGATGCATAATACTCATCGTCTTCTACAGCTCTTGCAGACAAGAACATATAAAGTAAGAAAGTTTTAGCTACAATGACAATTTCCAGTTACTTTCCTTAGCCTGCTCTGACAACCTGGATATAATCAGGTTACCATGGTGATGTATATATATTAACCCTCTTCTCCTACTGCAATTCATTTATACTGTAAATTCAGAAATTATTGCGCTGTTTTCATTATTGCGAAAAATGCAACAGGGTTATAATCGCAATAATTTAAACACCCATTTTGAAATTTTTTTATATGAATTAAACAGGATTTTTCTCAATATTGCAAAAATTAAAATCGCATTTTAGTCTAAAAAGACAAAATCGCAATAATAAATGCACGCAATAATTTCTGAATTTACAGTACTCAAGTTACCATGGTGATGTACATAGTATACTAACCCTCTTCTCCTGCTCTAATAGACTGACTATACTCGTGTTTGCGTGGCGTCTCACACAAAAAGTAAGATTTCTCTTTCTTGTCTGGTTTACAGGGAGCACTATCAAAGAAGTAGAAACCCACAGGCGAAGGTCCATATCCTGGCTGGTGATACTTGTTACTGAGAGTCATACACTGGTATTTCCCTTTACTTCTAGAGGGCTCTGCACCAAACTGAGTTGGCTCCCAACCTTAAAAAGAATAATAAATTAAAATAAAGTATAAAATTTGTTCCATCCACTTATATGTGTTTATAAAAATACTGAAACATGAAAAAAAGTTTAAAATTGTTTGAGAGCAAATAATTCCATTTAAAGAATGTCATTACTGAAGAAATACTAACTTATAAGAATTCAAAACTGATTACCAGTGGACGTAACCTTTATACTTTTTACTGCATTATATCAATTTATGGGTACATCATTTTCATTAAAAAGAAAATCTTATGATAGAATATATAGGGAAAAACTAATTTGTCATTAAAAATTACTAGGGGCTTTTAGTAATTTATACACAGCTACTGATGACATCATCAGAACCATTTTCAATTATTGAGCAAATTCTAATGGACATAAAATTGACTTGCTGTCATTTGAATACAATTTTCATTGGGAATAGGGGAGTCACCAACCACCCTGTACTTTACATGAAACAGTTGTGTTTTTTTTAAAAGGTACTAAAATACACAAACCAGGGAACCATTTTTTGTAGTTCATCTTCACTAATTTTTTCTCCATTTTTCCTTTCCATTTATTATTTCCATCCTGTTTCCTAGTAAATTTCTGCCATTTCCATACAGAACCTTTCTTCTTGCTCAATTTAGAACTCAGAATAATTCTGTCAATATCTGAAAAATGAAATGTTCATCTATTCAAAGTCTCCACAAAAAATCTGTATCAACCATGTAGATTTTTGTGGAGGCAACTTTAAATGAATGCAATATAAATTTGTAAACTTCAAAGTATCATTTTTACAAAAGAGTCATGAGGACGCATATCTATTTCTGGAGGTTGTATGTTGACCTCTTTAAGTCTCTTTTGGGTAACTTAGGTTGTTGGGTTGATGTCTCTTTGACTCTTTAATTATGAGCACACGATCTATTTTACTTAAGTATTTACATAAAAATGAGAATGGAAATGGGGAATGTGTCAGAGACAACAACCCGACCAAAGAGCATAAAACAGCCCAAGGCCACCAATTGGTCTTCAACACAGCGAGAAAATCCTGTACCCGGAGGCAGGCTTCAGCTGGCCTCTAAACAAAAATGTGTACTAGTTCAGTGAAAATGGACGTCATACTAAACTCTGAAACACATAAATGTTTGAATTAAAAAGTCCATCAGTTTTAAAATACAGACTTCCACATTAACCATACAAATAAAATATTTAAGGTATCTATGAAATTTGATAGTTCCTTTAGTAGTTTGGTTTTTGAAAATTTCAAGTTAATTGAGGAGTTATTGGCTAAATTATCCAGCTTCATGTCAGGCCATCCCACTTGAACCCCAAAATTTAAATTCAAAACTCTTTGAAAAAATAACAATATCTAAATATGAGCTGACAAAATAATTACTTGCCTAGTTAAATTTTTGATTTTTTAAATGAGTTCTGAAACTACCTAAGGTTTTCACCTATACAAAATTCTGTTATCATTTCTGATATTAAAAGCTTAACTTGTAGACTCATCATTTCTACCTACTGATGATGAGGAACAGTTTGAAATGAGGACATATATTTGGTTAAACAAATCTATATAACAATTATTGTTGACTTAGGAGACCTTATCTTGATAACTCAACTTCACCTTTGGAGCATAAAAATATGTTTGAGGTCAAATAAAATATGTCACACAGACATTTTTTTCTCAACAAAAAATCCATATTGCTGACCAGAAAAGTACTATAGGCAGTTAGTGAGGAACAGACCTAATTATTAAAATGTAATGAGATGATGAGTAAAAGTCAATATGAAATTTGTCAAATCAACATATACTTGATACAACCTAACTACATACCAAATATTTTACACCAGACAGTTAGTGAGGAACATGACCTAATCCGGAAAATCAAACCTGACGTTGACTTTAGTTGTGATTGAAACAAAACAATTTAACACAATTCTACAGGATTATAACTATGAAGTCAATAACCTTCTTTGTGTCTGGACAATATGTTAGATACGAAATAATGTTCAGCTTCAGACTCTATCAGAGCTAGATGTGACTCGCCATTCTGACCAGCACATTCCTTCAGAATTTTCTTTACGTTATCTCCATTATGGATTGGTTTGATCATATAACAAGAATTCTCTCCAGCTATCCATTTTCCTGAACTTGATTCACCACAATCTATAATGGACAAAATAAATCATGTTGTGAAAGAAGTCTTCTGATAACAAGTAAAGGTACTCAGTTATGACACTAAATTAGAGACACATATCTTATTGTTTTTATAGGTTGAAGTTTTTTTTTCCTTGGCAAAATCATCACTCTAATGTCTTGTGCTGGTCCCTATCCATCTGCAGAGTAACTTAGAAGACTATATTACTTGCTATCCAAAATTTATTTCACCATATATATGAATATAATATTAGCTTCAACCAACTATTAATGAATCCAGAAAAATTCTTCCTAGATATCACTGCTTGATTGTATTTTTCACTGATTTCAGAACAAACACAAAAGACTTAGAGACTTACAATAAGAACTGAGGGCAGGGGACTCTTAACAGCTTGTTTGTTTTTATAAATTTTGATGCTGTTTTTATTGTGTTTGTTTGATATGTATGTATATATGTTTATTGTGTTAATACATGTTGGTCACAAACTGTAAAGTTTATATGACAAAAAAATATTTGATTTGATTTGATTTGAATAATATCCATATATAAGGATCATATATAGTGAACAGCTATGAGCACTGTGATATTTTACTTTTATTTTATTTATGTTCATTGTGACAAATAACTTGAAGATATGAGAAAGTGAACTGCCATTGTTTGAACAAGTGAGAGGTGATCTTTCCATATCACTAAGACACTGTATAACTACTTATCTACCTACCTTACCTGATGTATCCTGCATGACACAGGTAATTCACCTGTTGATTCCTGGACTAACTTACCTGTTGTATCCTGCATGACACAGGTAATACACCTGTTGATTCCTGGACTAACTTACCTGATGTATCCTGCATGACACAGGTAACTTACCTATCCTATCTAGCATATCACAGGTAATTCACCTATTGTATCCTGCTTCAACTTACCTGTTGTATCAGGTGGTAACTTACCTGTTGTATCCAGCATGGCAGAGGTAACTTACTTATATATCTTGCATGACACAGGTAACTTACTTATATATCTTGCATGACACAGGTAACTTACTTATATATATTGCATGACACAGGTAACTTACTTATATATCTTGCATGACACAGGTAACTTACTTGTATTTTCTGCATAACACAAAAACACAGGTAGCTGACTTATAAGTTCTGCATGATGCAGTTAACATACCTGTTATATCCTGCATGACACAGGTAGCTTACTTATATTTTCTGCATGCCATAGGTAACTTACTAGTATCTACCTGTATGACACACAGACACAGGTAGCTTAACTATGTATTCTGAATGACAAAGGTAACTTACCTGTTGTATCCTGCATGACACAGGTAACCTACTTGTATTTTCTGCATGACATAAAAACACAGGTAGCTGACTTATAAATTCTGCATGACACACGTAACTTCCCTGTTGTATCATGTGGTAACTTACCTGTTGTATCTTGCATGGCAGAGGTAACTTACTTATATATTCTGCATGACACAGGTGACTTACTTATTTACTCTTCATGACACAAAGACACAGGTAGCTGACTTATGAATTCTGCATGACACAGGTAATTTACCTGTTGTATACTGCTGTAACTTAGCTGTTGTATTCTGCATGACACAGGTAGCTTACTTACGTATTATGCATGCCACAGGTAGCTTACTTATATATTCTGCAAGACACTGGTAGTTTTTAAATATATTATGCATGACACAGGAAGCTTACTGGTATATTATGCATGACACATGTAGCTTACTTATATATTAGGCATGACACAGGTAGCTTAATTTTATATTATGCATGAGAAAGGTAGCTTACTGATATAGTATGCATGAGACACATGTAGATAACTTATATTTCATGCATGGCACATCCTCCGCATGTAGCTTATTGATATATTATGCATGACCCAGATAGCTTACTTATATATTATGCATGACACAGGTAACTTACTTTGATATTCTGTGTGACACAGGTAACTTACCTATTGTATCCTGCATGACACATGTATAATACCTGTTGTATCTGGCATGACATGAGTAACAGACACCTGAGATTTAATCAACTGTACTGTGACTGTATAGACAAGTGAGCAGTGATTTTTAATTACCAAGACACTGTATTGTTTACAATAGATTTACCTGTTGTATCCTGCATGACACAGGTAACTGATACAGCTTCTGAGATCTGACATTCTGTACTGGTACTGTATGGACAATTAAGCAGGGATCTCTCATTACCAAGGCACTGTACATTGTTCAGCACAAATGATGAGCTGTCCCATTGATCCTGGTCTGCAGTCTTTCTGTACAAGGGTCTCAATGCTCCTCTGAGAAGAAACACTATCATGAAACTATGCAACTTTTATACCACAAAAAAAAACAGACTATAAGTAGAATGCTTTATATGATTATCATTACTCAAATCAATAGCATTTGTCTTTAGAAATGCCAAGTGCAAGCTGAACTTTAAATGACTGGGCATTCATGAAGTTCCAAACAACAATCATACTATTGACGGAGGGAATGTTATATAAGCTCAAGCATGACTAATCTTGCTTGGTGAAACAAACATCAAAACAGGCTGAGAAATAATGAAGAGAGAAGGATAACAAGAGTTACCAAAACTATTAGACAGCACAACAGAACTGTTTTCAAATGTTTTACTGCTGCCAATAGATTATATCAATTGTCATGAAAATAAATAAATATGACATTCTCTGAAGAAATCTCCTACACTTGTAAGTTGTCATGGTTAAATGTTAATTTGGTGTTCTCTGCAAATATGACAATGCTTGAAACACCCAGAATGTGATTTTGTCAGTTATTTGACAACATCAGTGGTCACCATGGGAACACAACTTTCCTCCACAAATAATAGGAATAAGATCAACAAATTTGATGAGAAATACTTACAAAGTAAATCCTAATTGTCTGCAGGCTACATCAGCATCTTGATCATCCCAATCATCATCACAAACAAGTCCCCATTTTCCACCTCTATATATTTCCAATAATCCTTCATTGTAGCCTCTAAGGTTCTTGTTGAAACCTAATCTGTTAATTTAATGACAGAATTTTAACTCTTCAAGAATATTTAAAATAAAATAACCATAAGAATAATTGTTGTATTTTACAATCTGTGAATTCACTATCATTCGTGGAATACTAATGCTCCTGGCTTCATAGAACAAGGTAAACCACATACAACATGTACAAGAAATTGAGGAAATACATATTTCCCATAGAAAAGAAGGCAAAACTTTGTTAAAATGACAATTTATCTATCCACTAAAAAAGACTATTGAGTTGAAAGCAGAACTTGTAAAAATTTGTTAGGGTTCCGCGGAACCCAGTGTCTCGCCTGTTTTTGCTGTTGTCTTTGTTTTCAGTGTGATAGGGGAACACACATAATAGATTTACAGTTAATGAGATAAAATGTTTGAAATGTATGAAAAAAGTTATGCATGTAAAAAATGAATACAGTATGCAATCAAATCTATAGATTTATAAAAGAGTTGAAACATAAATTTATTGAATGAACAAATGATAAAGAAGATAATTTTTAAATTGCTTGATGATTTATCCCTTAATTCAGACGACAACAGAATATAGGATCGCTATGTCACGCATTTGCGAAAAAAGTCGCAGGCTCGACAAAAATGACAAAAACATATATCCGTGAAAATACAATTATTTTTCAATCATTAAAAATAGATGAAACAACAGTAAAGAATTAGTAGAAATGTCCTTTTTAGTTTGTTCTGTCTTAAAGGATCCAATGCTAATACACAGACATAATAAATTGTAATGGGAAAGATCCAGTGCTAATACATAGACATAATAAATTGTAATGGGAAAGATCCAGTGCTAATACATAGACATAATAAATTGTAATGGGAAAGTTCCAATGCTAATACATAGACATGATAAATTGTAATGGGAAAGATCCAGTGCTAATACATAGACATAATAAATTGTAATGGGAAAGTTCCAATGCTAATACATAGACATGATAAATTGTAATGGGAAAGTTCCAACTCTTAGGGAGAAATTGATTGTTGCTGCATGTCTCAGTCACAGAGACATCCTCTACAGCTAGTAGTATTGGGTACAGTACTTGTATACAGAATAAACTCTCACTGTTACAGAGACATCCTCTACAGCTAGTAGTATTGGGTACAGTACTTATATACAGAATAAACTCTCACTGTTACAGAGACATCCTCCACAGCTAGTAGTATTGGGTACAGTACTTATATACAGAATAAACTCTCACTGTTACAGAGACATCCTCCACAGCTAGTAGTATTGGGTACAGTACTTATATACAGAATAAACTCTCACTGTTACAGAGAAATCCTCCACAGCTAGTAGTATTGGGTACAGTACTTATATACAGAATAAACTCTCACTGTTACAGAGAAATCCTCCACAGCTAGTAGTATTGGGTACAGTACTTATATACAGAATAAACTCTCACTGTTACAGAGAAATCCTCCACAGCTAGTAGTATTGGGTACAGTACTTATATACAGAATAAACTCTCACTGTTACAGAGAAATCCTCTACAGCTAGTAGTATTAGGTACAGTACTTATATACAGAATAAACTCTCACTGTTACAGAGAAATCCTCCACAGCTAGTAGTATTGGGTACAGTACTTATATACAGAATAAACTCTCACTGTTACAGAGAAATCCTCCACAGCTAGTAGTATTGGGTACAGTACTTATATACAGAATAAACTCTCACTGTTACAGAGAAATCCTCCACAGCTAGTAGTATTGGGTACAGTACTTATATACAGAATAAACTCTCACTGTTACAGAGACATCCTCCACAGCTAGTAGTATTGGGTACAGTACTTATATACAGAATAAACTCTCACTGTTACAGAGAAATCCTCCACAGCTAGTAGTATTGGGTACAGTACTTATATACAGAATAAACTCTCACTGTTACAGAGAAATCCTCCACAGCTAGTAGTATTGGGTACAGTACTTATATACAGAATAAACTCTCACTGTTACAGAGAAATCCTCCACAGCTAGTAGTATTGGGTACAGTACTTATATACAGAATAAACTCTCACTGTTACAGAGAAATCCTCTACAGCTAGTAGTATTGGGTACAGTACTTATATACAGAATAAACTCTCACTGTTACAGAGAAATCCTCCACAGCTAGTAGTATTGGGTACAGTACTTATATACAGAATAAACTCTCACTGTTACAGAGAAATCCTCCACAGCTAGTAGTATTGGGTACAGTACTTATATACAGAATAAACTCTCACTGTTACAGAGAAATCCTCCACAGCTAGTAGTATTGGGTACAGTACTTATATACAGAATAAACTCTCACTGTTACAGAGAAATCCTCCACAGCTAGTAGTATTGGGTACAGTACTTATATACAGAATAAACTCTCACTGTTACAGAGAAATCCTCCACAGCTAGTAGTATTGGGTACAGTACTTATATACAGAATAAACTCTCACTGTTACAGAGAAATCCTCCACAGCTAGTAGTATTGGGTACAGTACTTATATACAGAATAAACTCTCACTGTTACAGAGAAATCCTCCACAGCTAGTAGTATTGGGTACAGTACTTATATACAGAATAAACTCTCACTGTTACAGAGACATCCTCCACAGCTAGTAGTATTGGGTACAGTACTTATATACAGAATAAACTCTCACTGTTACAGAGACATCCTCCACAGCTAGTAGTATTGGGAACAGTACTTATATACAGAATAAACTCTCACTGTTACAGAGACATCCTCTACAGCTAGTAGTATTGGGTACAGTACTTATATACAGAATAAACTCTCACTGTTACAGAGACATCCTCTACAGCTAGTAGTATTGGGTACAGTACTTATATACAGAATAAACTCTCACTGTTACAGAGAAATCCTCCACAGCTAGTAGTATTGGGTACAGTACTTATATACAGAATAAACTCTCACTGTTACAGAGAAATCCTCCACAGCTAGTAGTATTGGGTACAGTACTTATATACAGAATAAACTCTCACTGTTACAGAGAAATCCTCCACAGCTAGTAGTATTGGGTACAGTACTTATATACAGAATAAACTCTCACTGTTACAGAGAATCACTGTTACAGAGAAATCCTCTACAGCTAGTAGTATTGGGTACAGTACTTATATACAGAATAAACTCTCACTGTTACAGAGAAATCCTCCACAGCTAGTAGTATTGGGTACAGTACTTATATACAGAATAAACTCTCACTGTTACAGAGAAATCCTCTACAGCTAGTAGTATTGGGTACAGTACTTATATACAGAATAAACTCTCACTGTTACAGAGAAATCCTCCACAGCTAGTAGTATTGGGTACAGTACTTATATACAGAATAAACTCTCACTGTTACAGAGAAATCCTCTACAGCTAGTAGTATTGGGTACAGTACTTATATACAGAATAAACTCTCACTGTTACAGAGAAATCCTCCACAGCTAGTAGTATTGGGTACAGTACTTATATACAGAATAAACTCTCACTGTTACAGAGAAATCCTCCACAGCTAGTAGTATTGGGTACAGTACTTATATACAGAATAAACTCTCACTGTTACAGAGAAATCCTCCACAGCTAGTAGTATTGGGTACAGTACTTATATACAGAATAAACTCTCACTGTTACAGAGAAATCCTCCACAGCTAGTAGTATTGGGTACAGTACTTATATACAGAATAAACTCTCACTGTTACAGAGAAATCCTCCACAGCTAGTAGTATTGGGTACAGTACTTATATACAGAATAAACTCTCACTGTTACAGAGACATCCTCCACAGCTAGTAGTATTGGGTACAGTACTTATATACAGAATAAACTCTCACTGTTACAGAGAAATCCTCCACAGCTAGTAGTATTGGGTACAGTACTTATATACAGAATAAACTCTCACTGTTACAGAGACATCATCCACAGCTAGTAGTATTGGGTACAGTACTTATATACAGAATAAACTCTCACTGTTACAGAGACATCCTCTACAGCTAGTAGTATTGGGTACAGTACTTATATACAGAATAAACTCTCACTGTTACAGAGACATCCTCCACAGCTAGTAGTATTGGGTACAGTACTTATATACAGAATAAACTCTCACTGTTACAGAGAAATCCTCCACAGCTAGTAGTATTGGGTACAGTACTTATATACAGAATAAACTCTCACTGTTACAGAGAAATCCTCCACAGCTAGTAGTATTGGGTACAGTACTTATATACAGAATAAACTCTCACTGTTACAGAGAAATCCTCCACAGCTAGTAGTATTGGGTACAGTACTTATATACAGAATAAACTCTCACTGTTACAGAGACATCCTCCACAGCTAGTAGTATTGGGTACAGTACTTATATACAGAATAAACTCTCACTGTTACAGAGACATCCTCCACAGCTAGTAGTATTGGGTACAGTACTTATATACAGAATAAACTCTCACTGTTACAGAGACATCCTCCACAGCTAGTAGTATTGGGTACAGTACTTATATACAGAATAAACTCTCACTGTTACAGAGAATCACTGTTACAGAGAAATCCTCTACAGCTAGTAGAATTGGGTACAGTACTTATATACAGAATAAACTCTCACTGTTACAGAGAAATCCTCTACAGCTAGTAGTATTGGGTACAGTACTTATATACAGAATAAACTCTCACTGTTACAGAGAAATCCTCCACAGCTAGTAGTATTGGGTACAGTACTTATATACAGAATAAACTCTCACTGTTACAGAGAAATCCTCCACAGCTAGTAGTATTGGGTACAGTACTTATATACAGAATAAACTCTCACTGTTACAGAGAAATCCTCCACAGCTAGTAGTATTGGGTACAGTACTTATATACAGAATAAACTCTCACTGTTACAGAGAAATCCTCTACAGCTAGTAGTATTGGGTACAGTACTTATATACAGAATAAACTCTCACAGTTACAGAGAAATCCTCCACAGCTAGTAGTATTGGGTACAGTACTTATATACAGAATAAACTCTCACTGTTAC